GCTAGGAGAGAACCCTGCCTGAAACTCATCAGAACTGTTGCCAGTCAGTGTAGATAAGTTTGGGCTACACAGACCATTGGTTTCACTCAGTATAAGGCAGCTTCCTATGTTACTGAGACTGTGAGTGACCCAAAGTCACGCTGTGAGCTTCACGGCTGAGTAGAGATTTGAACCTTGGTCTGCAGGGTGTCACTGTTGACACTCTAACCATGACACCATGGCTGGTGCTTTATGCACAGTAACATAGGAAACTGCCTAACATTGAGTCAGGCCTTTGGTCCATCAAGCCCAGAATTGTCTACACTAATTCTCAAAGGTTTCTTCTTCCCATCCACTGCCACCAGATCTCATAAACACGTCGGGTATGGAGCTTAGCTCCTTCTGCACACCAATCAGGTGCACTCCACCACTGAGCTATGGTTGATACACATCTCCCAACTCAGCCTAGACATGGTCTTAAGGCACGCAGGGTAGCCAGAACTGTACATTCTATTCCTCTCAATTCCTAGTACAGAGATATGCTATCCCTGGGGAACACAAGAAAAGAAGAGACGTGGGAGAAATCTTGTGTCCAAGTTGCTCCAATCCTGACCATGTGTACACAGTTCCCCATGTGCTGGTCCTATCATCACCCACCATCTGCAGACAAGACTGAGGACCAGTGCAGCTGCATGCAATGTGCTGCAGTAGTGTAGTGGTTAGAGGGTCTGAGTTCAAATCCCTATTGGGTGACAAAATTCACAGGATGATCATGGACAAATTACTACTCTCTCAGCCTAACCTATCTCACAGAATTGTTGCACAGATTTAAAGGGGGGGGGACTTTGATGCTACATTGAGCTCCTTGGAGGAGAGGAAGAATATCAATGTAACAAATAAACCAAGAGTAAGGGATGGATGAATGGGTCAATTTCAGTTTCACCAAGTTTCTCATTTTTCCGGTCTTAAATTCAGTTCTCCACATTTTATATCAGTTACCATTTTTTTTAAAAAGTCATCATGCAAATTCGTCAATATCTTCATGGATAATAAAACATTCACCTTTTTATATGACTTTTGCCTGATATGCACGTTTTTTAAAAACAATTCTCTCTAATATAATGTATTTTGGTATGTGCTATTTTCAACAATACATGCATTTTTATGCACACTAGAATACAACTCTTTGTACATATTGCTTGGCTAGAGAACTACATTGCAAAATTCAGAGAAATGCGAATTTCGAAGAAGGGCTGTGTTTTGGTTTGCGCATTGTATTGGAAAGTACAAATTAGGGAGGGATCACCTTTAAATGCAAACTAAATCAAATTTATTCACCACCCCTAATACATATGGACATGATAAGAATTTGCTGGATCAGGCCAATGGCCCATCAAGCCCAACAAGTTGTTCTCATAGTGGCCACCCACTTTCTCCTCCTGTGGTTTCCAGGAACTGGCATGCAGAAGCAGTACTGCCTCCAGCAGTGGAGAGGCAGAGCATAGATATCATAACTGGTGGCCATTAATTGCCTTATCCTCCATGAATTTCTCTAATCTTAAAGTCAACCAAGTTGGTGGCCAGCACTGCCTCCTGTGGGAGTGAGTTCCACAGTTTAAGTATGTGTTGCATGAAGGAGAACCTTGTCGTCATTTTTTCTAAATAACTTTCTGTTGGGTTTTATCAACAAGGATCATAGGAATAATAAATGATACAGACCAAGACTTCTCATGTCAATTGTATATCACAACAACCATAATAAATTTGCACTAATATTTACCATATACGGGTGTATTGTTAGCGGTCAGTGTATAGGTTCTTGGTTCATGAATTGGTTTAAATGAAAAGAGAATTTTTGATGGATAGCTCAGTCAGTAAAGCGTGGGACTCTTAATCTCAGGGTCATGGGTTTGAGCCCCATATTGGGCAAAAGATTCCTGCATTGCAGGAGGTTGGACTAGATGACCATTGTGGTCCCTTCCAACTTTAGCAGTCTATGATTCTATGAAAAAGAATGGGGAAACAGGATAGAAGAGAATTAACAGATAACATTCAGCATCAAATAGCTAAACGCTTAATCAGGATCCCTTGTGGTGGTGCTTAGATTATGTATGAGTAATAGTCATTTTTCCTCTTACGTTACCAATGAAACAATATAAAGTGTTGAAGGAGTACTCTGTCTTATCTGGTTGTTGTGCCATCAGCTGAGCATCCTACCCCTTGAGAATACAACAACCCCCCAGTTCTTGGGGCTGAGCCAGGGACAAAGTCAAGGTTAAGGGTCCCGTAAGCAAAGCTGAATATAAACCATTACTCTGCTCTTAGTATGTTGGCAAAAGGGATTTGGGCATCTTGAGTCTCCCTTGTGCTGTTCTGAGATGATTGAAGAGCAGCAGTGGACAGAGCAGGCCTAGGCAGGGTGGGTGGGAGGAGGAGGGGGTGCTGTGCCATGTGGCCAGCCAAGGATGAGCAGAGCAGCCTCACATCCGTCCATCGAGGCCAAAAGGTCTGGGGTGGGAAAGAGCAGATAACCAAGGAAGAGACAGAGGAGGTAGTGGCGAGGGAAGTCCTGCAGATATATTTCCGGCCAATACATCTAGGAAGGGCTGGGGATATCAGCCTGGCTGTGAACAGACATTTCCCTTCCTGAACAGGGAGTGGTGTGTGTGTGTGTGTGTGTGTGTGTGTGTGTGTTTCTGTGTGTGCGTTGGGGCAGGGGAAAGAGAAGAAGAAAGCAGACAAACACTTTTAGAAGCGACTCTCACTTTCCTATCTCCTGACTTGAATCTTCTGCTTTCATTGTTGCTTTAATGGTTTCTCTTTATTGTTACACTGCTTTAATTTGCCTTGTTTATTATATACTTTAATTATGGATGTTATAATGTTGTTGCTTCACTGTGCCTTTTAATTATGGGTAGCTGCATTTTTAGAATTGGTTTTGTTCTTGTTATTTTGCTGTTGGCTAGGCTTTTATTCATTTCTTTGAACCGCCCTAGTACAGTGGTACCTCGGGTTAAGTACTTAATTCGTTCCGGAGGTCCGTTCTTAACCTGAAACTGTTCTTAAACTGAAGCACCACTTCAGCTAATGGGGCCTCCTGCTGCTGCCACGCCGCCAGAGCACGAGTTCTGTTCTCATCCTGAAGCAAAGTTCTTAACCCAAGGTAATATTTCTGGGTTAGTGGAGTCTGTAACCTGAAGCGTATGTAACCCGAGGTACCACTGTATTTCTTCTTGAAATGAAAGGTGGTGTATAAAGCCTTTTAATAATATTGTAATACTCACAAGCAACTGCTGCTGCAGAGGGAGATGGGAATCACATTCAGGGCATGGGGGGGGGGGAAGACTCAAGGCAGTCTGGACTTTGGAGTTCTTTACAAAGTGACCGAGAGGCTGTGTGTATATGTGGGGTGGGATGGGGTGGGGTGTCTGTGGATTTGCTAGGATGAATTTGGTCACCATCTCATTTCAAGCAGCAAAAGCCATAAAGCAAAAGCTGGAGTTATGAGATGTGCTTGGAAAAGGAGGAAGGATAAGAAAACAACAAAGGGCCCTCCTCCACAAATAAGTAAGAAATGACGAACTTTTTTTAAAAAAGAGACCTGAGGCAGTCTCACAGACCTGGAACTAGATTTCTCATCCTTGATCCATTCTAGATCACAGAGGCTGCCATCCTCAGTGACACACCGTGATGCCTGGTGCTCATTTGGATCCAACTCATTCTAGATCCGTCCCCATCCTCTTCCTTGATGAGTTCTGCAAGGGCAACACTAAGGAGGAGGGAGCTTACTGGCTTCATTTGGAAACGGGCAATCAAAATGATCGAGGGGGGTGGAATCAACTCTCCTCTGAGGAAACTTTTTGGGCCAGAGAGAAGGTGAGTAAGAGGCGACATGGTAGAAGTTCATGAAACGATGCATGGCATTGAGAAAATGGATGGAGAAATGTCCCTCCTCCTCCCATAACACTGGAACTCATGGACCTCCAATGAAGCTGAATGTTGGGAGGCTGCAAGGCAGACAAGAGGAAGTACTTTTTCCACAGAGCGCATTGTTAAATTATGGAACTCATTCCTACAGAAGGCAGTAATGGCCACCAACCTGGATAAAAGAAGATTAGGCAAATTCATGGACAGAAAAGCAACCCACAATGGCCAAGCTCTACCTCCACTGTCAGGGGAGTTATCCCTACGGGTGCCAGCCTGATACTTAGTCAAATCATGGGCCCATCTAACTCAGAATTAGTTAAACTGACAGGCAATAGCTTTCTAAGGTTTCAGGCAAGGTTCTCTCCCAGCCCTGCCTGGAGATGCCCGGGATTGAACCTGGGACCATGCAAAGCAGGTGCTTAGCTAAGGATCCTTCCCTATCACTCTAAATACACATCCATCCCCCTCCACCCCAGATCATATATAACCAAGCTGCTGTTCGCCAGCTCATCACACACTCACAGACTTTTCCACTGACAGATGGAGACTGGCACACCCAATTGTTTCTCTGCATGACTTGTTGGTTTACAGATGAAAGTCCAGTGAGAAAGGGGGGGGGGGACAACTATGAGCAGCATCCAGCTTTCCTAAAACTCACGGCTTTCCACAATACTCAGGGCTCATGAGCTTACTAGCCTTCAGAATCTTTTTAGCTCTGCTCTGTCTGTAACATCCCCACATTTGACATAGAAAGGAAACATTAACAGTGGACTTTCTCCCTAAGAGTGGCCATTTTTGCTTCAAATTACTAAAGAAGTCTTCGCGTTCTTAAAGACACTGTCCTTCAGGATTCCCCAACAGGTGTCAATCAATCAAGGGGGAAAGAATTAAAAGTCTCTGGTTGATTGCCTTCATTTAAAAACCAATTTTGGTTGGAGAGATCTGTGCTCAGTTTGGAACTTAGTTAAGATACCAGCTCCATGAGAGCAGCAGCAGCACAGGCCTGCCCCTACCTGCATGAGATATTTTTCATTACTTAGGGGAGTTTGGGTTGGTTTAGCAGGGAAGACAGAAGGAGGAGCGGGGGTACTTACCTGGCCCGTTCCAAAGCTTCGGCTCCTGGGGCTTCTCCAGAATCTCTTGTTTATCTGGCTCCTTTGGGCTCTCCAAGCTCTCTCTGAGTTCAGTCTCTGAAAATTGAAGTAATGAAATCATTGAATCATCACTCAGAATTATTGAGGTCTGTGAAGAAAATATGGTCAGCCATTCAGGTGCACCAGGCTTTTATGAGCCAAGTCACATGACCCAGCTTTAAGACAGCCATTCACACAGCTGCATCATGAACAGAGCGCTCACCATGTCTAAGAAGGGGGTGTTCTTTGGAGACAGAAAGCAAAAGACCTAGCTCCCTCATGCAGCAAGTGGGATGATCAGAACGTAATTGTACTGCATGGAACTGAGTCTGGTCTGTACCATTTCACGCTGTACGTGGGGATGCACATGGGTGAATACTATGTCAGAATGGGTGCTGACAAAGGGGTACTTCCCTCCCCTCTGGTTTGCTCAGGCTCAGTGTTGAGGCTCTCCCTAGCATCCCCTGCTCCCACCACTTCCTCTCCACTGGAGGTGGGACTTCCCTCCTCGCCAGAGGAGGAACTGCTTTGCAAGATTTTTGGAGGTTCCCTATAACACAACTGCCCTTTCACCTCTCACCTCTGAGCTGATGGCAATTCCCTGACACCTTCTATCCAAAATGACACCAGCCCCTGCATACTGGAAAGGGGTGTGTCAGCAGGAAGGGATTCAAGCTTAGCTTGTCTTCTGGAGACAACTGTTTTCTAAGTGCAGGAAAGTATATCATTTTAATTCTAGTAGAGCATTTGACCGTATGAGCTGTGCTTCCCCCACCCCTCAGTTTTCAAAGACAGAAGTGGTCCAGTGAATTGTTTATCACCTCACCTAATGTCTGGGAGAATTAGACTTCAGTGAATGGGTTGGGTTCTCACCTGATGTCTAAGAACTAGGCCCAGGAATAATAATGACATTTAATATGTTGAACTGGCTCCCAACCAAGGATAGAAAGACGTGCGTAGGATGCCAGGAAACCCCACAAGGTGACAATCAACATACAGAGCTGCTTGCTAGATAATAATGAATCTGACTGCTGCAGTCCTTGCCTCATCACTCATCCTCTTAACAGCCAACTCCTAAAGGCCGAGGCCCCTTCAACTCCCCCAATAAAATATTTGAGCTCAGTTGATGGGCATTGCCATTCAAATGGTGTGTGTGTGTGCTGCATCTTGTGATTGTGTTGGGCGTGGCTTACCTCCTCCCCACCCCCAATATTTTATTTAAGTTGGCACCCCTACCTGTGTATTATCTCTATATCTTCCCTGTACCTGATGTTTGAAGACAGAGCCCACAAACCAGACATACTTTGCAATATTTTATTTATTTGTGGCATTTATATCCCACCTTTTTCTCCAAGGAGCTCAATGCGGCATACATGGTTCTCCCCCTCTTTCATTTAATCCCCACAACAACCCTGTGAGGTAGGTTAGGCTGAGAGGGAGAGGGACTGGCCCAGGGTCACCCACTGAGCTTCACGACCGAGCGGGGATTTGAACCCTGCTCTCCCAGGTTCTAGTCTGACACTCTAACCACTATGCTGCACTGGTGCTCAATACTTTTTTTAAAAAACCCCTCAATGAATTTCTAATAATTAAAGAAGTTTGTGTTCTGTGTGAAGAAAAGGCAAAGCCTAAAATCCAAATGAATTGTGCAAATTAAAATTTATTCAAATTGAAGGTGGGGCAACAAGCAAGAATAAGGAGCTATGCAAAGTGCTAATCACTACCTCTTGCTAAGACTCACTTGGGCATATCAGGTTTTACTAGCCACTCTCAATCTATTTTCAAGCTTATTTGCAGCCAGTAAGGCCTAAAAAAAGAGAAGAAGCCACAGCCGACATTTATACCTTGCCTTTCCATAAAATCTCCAAACAACAGTTTGAAAAAAGGTAAGAAGAAAAAGATAATATAAAATAAAAGAGCAAATAAAATCAGTATCAAGCAGTCTGAAAATAAAGATGTCATACAGTACCATTACCTATCAAGCTGTTTTGGCACTAAAATATCAGGAGGGTCAATCACACCTTGTTATGAAGAGATTAAAAAGAACTTCCCAGAAAATGAATGCTTTTTTATAAAATAAAATAGAACAAAACAAAACAAAACAAGCCATCAGAATGAGCATGCCAATTGCTCAGGAATGCTCTCTCTCAAGTCATTCGACGTACATAATATCAAGCCAGGCCAATTGCTCCACATCACTCAGTACTGCCCACACTGACTGGCAGCAATGGTCCAGAGTCTCCCACACTTATAGGGAGATGCCGGGGTTTGTACCTGAGGCCTTCTGCGAGCAATGCATGAGCTCTTCCACCAATCTACGGCTATTCCCCAACCTAACGCAGCCCGTGTAGAAAGGGCACATAACAGAGAGCCTTTGCTGAAGAGCTCACTGAGCCGGCAATCCCAGAACGCTCCCAGGATGCTTCACTTTAAGCTTGTGTGATACAAACATCAACTGTGACTGGATGATTTGGGGGGCTCAGAGTTGCTTCCTTATTTTCCAGACCTCCCATCCGCCTTCTCCTAGCGCCAGCTGGCTGACGAAAAGAAAAAACGAAAGAAAAGAAAATTGGGTGGGGAAAGAGAACTTACTTCCTGGGCCAACTCTCCCGGTGGCAGACTCATAGCAACTTGATGACAATTATTTTCCCCATTAACTGCTGTTTGAGATCCTGCCGATAAGCCTATCTGCATAAGACAGCGTGAAAGATTAGCGGGCAGAGGGCATGTTTGCCTTTGCACCCAGGCCCCCAATAACCACCGCTAAAAAAGGCCCCACAACCATGGCCCAATCGATTGGCGCCATAAAGGGTGCCTGGGGGTGGTGACGTCACCGGCGATTGGTGATTATTAATACAGGTGATAAGGCGGGAATGGGGGGGTGGGGTGGATGATTAACATCAAATAAATCAATCGCTGGGTATAAAAGTCCCATTATTTTTGGCTATAAATCAAAGTGGCTGGCATATTGATTGTTATCCATCGCGCTGAAAGCTTTTTGCTATGCGCCACAGGAGCAGCAGTTATTGCAGCCGGTGCGTTATCATGCGCTATCGCCTCCTTTTATCACGACGCGCTAGTGCCAGGTGCACTGTTCAGGCTGGAGCTTTCAGAGCTCTCTGCTCTCCCTAACCTCCCCCCCCCCCGCAACCCTCCACCCCTCAGCCTGAGGCTCTTGTAGAGAGCCTTAAAAATCAGATAAAGGAATCTCTTGCTTCCTTTTCTACAGACTAGCTCGGTGGGTCAAAGTCTGCCATTGCACAAAACACTTGGCTTCCCACCCACCCACAAACTGCCTCACTGCCCCTGCCCCAGGTCCCAAACATCCTGCAAGTCCCTCAGAGATGAACAGCTTCCTAATAGACATCTATGCAGTTGTGCGTGGACAATGGCAGTTAATGTGCCAGGGGGGTGGGAGGAGGAGGAGGAGGAGGAGAGTTTGGATTTGCTATCCCGCTTTATCACTACCCTAAGGAGTCTCAAAGGGGCTAACAATCTCCTTTCCCTTCCTCCCCCACAACAAACACTCTGTGAGGTGAGTGGGGCTGAGAGGCTTCAGAGAAGTGTGACTGGCCCAAGGTCACCCAGCAGCTGCATGTGGAGGAGCGGGGAATCGAACCCAGTTCACCAGATTACAAGTCCACTGCTCTTAATCACTACACCACACTGGCACAACGCTCAATGTGTGTGCATACGTGTGCATGAAAGAGGAAAGATTAGATGGCCAAGGGTCACCAAATAATGCCTGACATTTATCAGGGAGATAATCAAATTATGAATATTACTATTTATGCTCCCTTGTTTTTTATTATATATAAATAAAACAGCTTCAGAAATTTGCTGACCCTCTGCTTAGGATCCAAGCACACCCACCATTTAAGAAGCAGAAAATGAAACCAAAACACACAACTTAGGCTCTAGGTTATGTCCCACTACCAAATGGGAACCGGTTGGCAGGAATATGAAGCAGGCCCTTTCTGCCTGCTTTTGGCCTGCAAGAAGGAAGAAGAGGATGAGCGAAGGAGGCACACACAACATCAGGGCCTACTCCAGTCGGACTGCCCCCTGTCCCCTGCAGCCAACTTTACATGTTATATCATTTGTTTTAGTGCTTTAAAATGCCATTGGGTGCCTTGCCATATAAATTAAACAAATAAGTAAGAAAAGAAACTGGGGCGAGGGGAATGAAAAGAAAAAAGTATATAATAATCATCATATACCCATAGTTGGGTTCTATAACATCATCTTTTTTTAGGGAACCTTGTTATGGCCTAAAAGGCACAGGAGCACATTACCTGGGTAGGGTTGCCATTATATTGAAGAGCAAAAAAGAGGACACCATGGCAGCCATTCAAAGCAAACAGATGCAATTTGTCTTAAATTTTACCCCTGAAAGGAGAACATGTCCTGGATAAAGAGGACACATGGCAGCCCTACCTGGCAGAGTACACATTATGCATTGGGAGGTAGTCACCGCAGGCACTGTACTTTCAAAGCACTATCATACCACTTGAAACAGTCATGGCTTCCCCCAATGAACCCCAGGAACTGTAGTTTGCCTGTTTGGTGCTGAGAGGAGACCCCTGTTTTCCTTCACAGAGCTACAACTCCTAGAGTGGTTTAATGGGTTCAGGAATCTGGGAACTGTAGATCTGTGAGGGCAACAGAGGCCTCTTAACTTTAAATGTTTAGCACAGATGGGGCCTGAACACAGCCTCCAACACTCTACACACTTCATTGGGTGCCAGAAACGGTTTTTATCTGTCCAACTTTCCCCAGAAGGATGAGTTGACTCATAGGTAGTTATCGGATTTCTTTGTTTTGAAAAATGTGTTCTTAAATTCTGTTTTCAGTTGTATTTTTCCTGCTGCATGCTGCTAAGCTATTTTGTAACATTCAGACATTTATACAATTTTGTTGGGTGCCACAAACTTTTTTTATTTGTCTAGCGTTCTCCAGAAGGATGAGTTGACTCATGGGCAGTTATCTGATTTCCTTTTTGAGAAATGTGTTTTTAAATTCTATTTTCAATTGTAACATTTAACCATTTATAAAATCGTCTAAAATAATAAAAATGTCTTTATAGATAAATAAATGAGAGAGGAAGGGGGGAGGGAGGGAGGTGTGGAGAGGTAAAAGTAGTCCAATTAGATCTTGTCGACATTAACACTCAGAAGTTAATCTTGCTCTTTTCTAGGGACTTTTTCTCTCATGTAAGCACACATAGTATTACAGCCTCAATATTCCTGCTGCTTCTATGGACAAATAAGACAGTCACTATTGTTTGGGCCAACTCATGTTTCTAAAAAGCTGAGAGACAGAAGTGTGTGTGTGTGTGTGTGTGTGTGTGTGTTTTGCATTTCTAGGTCAGCATTTACCTAGCCAGGTCTGCAGTCTTTCAAGGCGCAGTAGCAAGAAACTCAGACCCTTAATTAGATTACAAATTGCTGTAGAGAGAGAGCAGAATTTATTGATTGAAATTTGAGCCAGAGCAGGGAGCTGCTGCTGCAACAGCAGAAGCAGCACAGAGGCTATAAGAAGCAGAGCTACGAAATCCCCAGTGGAAGTCTTGCCTCTCCCACGAAGCCGTGAGCAGCCCTTAGGGTAGGCTGTTCATCTGCAGTATGGGGACAATAGTACTGACCTATCTTACAAGTCTCTCGTAAGGATTCCAAGTTAACGTGCACAACCTGCTTTGCAAATGTTACAAACCCTAAGTATGATTGCAGACAGTGGAAGAACACAGGAAGCTGCCTTACACAGAGTCATAGCCTTGGTCCATCTGGCCCAATATTACCTGCACTGACCGGCACCAGTTCTCCAGGATCCCCACCTCTATCTGGAGATGCTGGGGATTGAACCTGGGACCTCCTCTGTGCAAAGCACATGCTCTACCGCTGAGCCATGGCACTACCACTGAACTGCATCCTTTTCTGTTCCCTATGAGAAACAGGAGTAATAAAAGACTGCACCTCTGAGCATGGGCAGATTGCCTTTCCTTCTCTACAGAATGACCACAGCAATCCTTTCATGTATCAGAGGGTGGGGGGGGGACCTGCAGCCTCACAGATGTTGCTGGACCACAACTCCCTTCATCCCTGACCATTGGCCCCGCTGGCTTGCGGCTGATGAGAGCTGGACCCCAACAACACCTGCAAGTTGAGGCACAGCACAAGAAAGGAACTTACTTTCGCTGCAAGGGGAGCTGGACAAATCGCCTTCCACGGAGCCTTCGCGGTCAGAAGCGCCTCCCTCCTTTTCCGAATGGCTGTGGTCCTCCAAAGGAACTTCGTCCCCTTCTTCCATCTCACCAAAGGCGCCTGCAAGAGCAAAACTAGGTCAGAAATTATGCAGGCATTCCACCAGCCCAACGTAAAAGAGACGCTCAAATAACATGCTACATTTGTTTTTTTAATGCACCAAGAACAGTGCAGTTAACGATCCACAGAGTTTGAGGTCTCCTGGCAAATCAATAGCACATTGAGAGGATATTGGCAATAAACAGCAGCCTCTTCTGTCACATATGGGTGGATTCTGGTTGTGTGTTCGTTTGGAAAAGGAGGAGAAAAAGTTATCTCTAGAGGTATACCAGGGCGCAAGCATAAAATTGTCTAGGGATGTGGTGGGCAGAAGGCAGAATGTGTTCCCTGGGTGATTTATAGTGCATTGAGTCACAATAATTTAACAGCAGCAAGTAAATCTCTCGGCCGTGACTGCCCTTGTGCTAATTGCTTAGGCTCCATGTTGCTCACCAGGAAAACAGGAATTTCCCCCCCCCAGCGCTCATAATACTAGAACTCGGGGATGGAAAATGAGATGGAGTACTGGGAGATTAAGGACACAGAAAAGCTTTGTGCTAGAATTCCCAAGATCTGTCATGGCTCAGATGTAGCATCGTCCTCATATTCATTCATCTGAAGTCTTTTTAAGCTGCCTCCACTCAAAAGGTCCCAGAGTGCAACCATGGGCAATGTAAACCAAAATCAAACATGCATAAAACAAATTACAGACTTTAATTACAAATAAAAGCAGTAGCGGCAATAGGAATTCAAATGCTCAGTATGCCTCCCCAAAACCCAAAGGTGTGACTTTAAGGGGCTGCATTATACCAAATAAAACCAGTGGTCTATCCAGTTCAGTACTGTCTACACGGACTGGCAGCAGCTTTCCAGAGTTTCAGGCAGGGAATCCTTCCCCCAGCTCTACTTGGGAGATGCTATTGGGGACTGGTGCCTGCTGCGTGCATATCTGGGACAATGGATTGGAAGAACAGGGCAGAGACCCTCCCCTAGGCTCTCCTTCGCACAGCTGCCTTAAGGGTTTTTTTTTAGAGACTGGGTGGGGTGGGGGAGTTGTGTTCTTCCCCACCAAAATATGTGAACTACTCTCCTAAATTTGCACTTCTCCAAATATTGGGGAGGGAAACAAATCCAAAAAATGTGAGCAAAAATGCAGTTAGTAACAAAAATAATGTACGCCAGTGCATTCTGTTAGAGGAAATTGCCTAAATAAATGTGTAGATTAAGAGAAATGTGATCCAAATTATTCATGAATTTTCAGGAGGATTCTTCTTTAAAAAAAATGCAATGCAGAAATGTGGGCAGCTGAACTAAAGACTGGGGAAATTAGAAACTGACCTTGAGAGATTTGTCCATGCCCACCTGTTCTTGATAGTATGAAGGATGGTGGGAAGCCTCTCCCCCCACTCCCACTCCCCACCAAAAGCACATCTGGACACATCTGAGAATTTTTGGGTGTATGGCTGCTTCATACCAGCAGCTGGCATGATGAACCCCCTTATTAATTGTGCGCCCCATGGCCATTGCTGACATTGCCCAAACATCTGGGCCAGCCGTATTTGCCAAGAGGGCAATACAATAAGGAATGAGAGAAGCCAGCAGGTTTTCTGTGTGGTGCAAAGTCTGCCATTCTCTGGCCTCTCTCTCTCTCTCGCTCCGGCCTTATTCATCTGGGTGAAATAAGTTTCTGTGTGTGCGTGGGGGGGGGGGAGAGGAGATGGAAGAGGAGGGGGTTAACTTTATCAGAACCCGAGAGCCGTGAAGGCGTGAAAGAAAAAATTAGCCTAACGATGTTTCATTTACAGCGAGAGAAACGATTTGTTAGCCGGCGATTGTTTCTGAATATTATCAGAGCCTTTTTAATTGTGCTGGAACTGAAATTAGTAGAATTAGAATAAATTGCCTTCCCTTCTCCGGCAGCCTCTTTATTCACGCTCATTGTTGTCTGCTTTGTATAGATTATGGGCCCTTTGTTCTCCCAGCGTAAATATACATGCCTAGAGTCATAGAGAGTGGCTGAGGTCTGGGGAAATGCACCGCATGCAACGTCCCCCCCCCCACCGTGCCAGCCCACTTCTCCTTTGTCGTTGAAATGTTTGCCTTTTCAGGGTGAAGGCGGGTGCTGTACCCCCAGCAGCAGCACTTGCCAGCTCCCAGGAAGGGCAGACTGACCCCTGCAATGGTGTAAGACCTCTTTTCTTTTTTAGAGGCCCCCAGAAAACAATCAACACTGGGGCAGGTGTCCATTGCATTAGTGAGGCTGTATGTATGCGCCCTGAACGAGCCCGATATGCGGCACAGCACAACCACCTGAGAAACCTAAGAGTCCATTATTATTACAGTGGTACCTCAGGTTAAGAACTTAATTCATTCCGGAGGTCCGTTCTGAAACTGTACTTAACCTGAAGCACCACTTTAGCTAATGGGGCCTCCTGCTGCCACAGCAGCACGATTTCTGTTCTCATCCTGAAGCAAAGTTCTTAACCTAGGGCACTATTTCTGGGTTAGCCGAGTCTGTAACCTGAAGCGTATGTAACCTGAAGCGTATGTAACCCGAGGTACCACTGTATTTACAGGGGTACTTTGGTTTACGAACTTGATCCGTTCCGGAAGTCCGTTCTTAAACAGAGGCATGCTTTCCCATAGCAGCGAGGGACTCAATTTACAAATGGAATACCCTCAACATGTTCTGCTTCCAAGACAAAGTTCACAAACCAAAACACCTACTTCCGGGTTTGCAGCGTTCTTAATCCAAGTTGTTCAGAAACTAAGCTGTTCTTAAACCAAGGTATTATGATTAATAGGGTAATATTAATAATAAAAACAAGCTTCTAGTCCTTCTGGCCAAGGAGGCAACGTTCAAAAAATGTGCGCAATGCTTGTGGAAATCTTGGGATCCAGAAGGGTTGGCTAAAACCTCCAGATATTTTGGGGGTCAGGGAAGAGAAGAAGAGGGACAGAAAGAGGAGGAAGAAGAAGCTGTTGAACAGACAGAGTATTGCTTTTATTGTTTCCTACCAGGGGATTTCAAGATGCAGGGTGGGCTATACATTTTTAAAAAACGATTCAATAGTGTAATCCGTACTAAATATGAAAAGCTTAAGTTTTTCGGAACACATTTACTTGGACTTTACATAACTTCACTGTGGGCAAACAAATCCTAGTGGTCTTAAGCCTGTAAAATGAGCAACGCTTACGGGGGCTCCTTCCAAGAGAACCCTTCTATCTCAATTCCTGTGCCCCCAACCCTTAATTCTTAAAAAGGACACTGTGGAGCTGGAAAAGGGCGACTAAAATGATCAAGGGTCTAGAGAGCATAAAAGGAGCCTGCTGATTCAGCATCCTGTTCTCACACAGTAGCCACCCACATGCCCATGGGAAACCCACAAGCAGGACCCGGGTTCAAGAGCATGCTCCCCTCCTGTGGTTTCCAGGAACTGGAGCTGCTTGCCTATGAAGAAAGGCTGGGAGCTTTTTATACATTGAGCAAAGTGGAGGTGTGCTCTGTGGTGTGGTGAAACAGACTGGGCAAAGTTTTCTCCACCTCTCATAATATGAGAATTTAGGGCTACTGCCTAAAGTAACTGACCGGAAGGAGGTTCAGTACAGACATAAGGAAGTCACATCACAATTGCCACCAAGACAGTTTTATCTACACCACAACCCTGCAAGGTAGGTTAGGCAGATGGTGGGGCAGGATGAGGGGAGCAAGTGGCTCAAGGATACCTAGCAAGCTTCACGGCAAACTGGTGTTTTGATCCTGGATCTCTCCAATCCGACTCCAGCACTCTAATCCCTGTGCCATACTGCAATCTCACCAGCCACTACAATCATCTGAGGGCTCTGCGTTCAGGAGCAACTACAGGAGGGAAATCACTGCCACGCCTGCTTGTGGGCTTCCAGGAGGCATCTTGATGGCTGCTGTGGGAAACAGAGCCCTGCACCTTTGATCTAATCCAGTCGCCCGTGGGGAATGGTGTTGGCTTCAGTGACTCGACTGTAATGCAGACAGGAGACGACTCCACATAAATGAGCTATTTTAGTGACTCTCTTTGCAGGGCTTGCAGACAGAGCTTCTCGGGCAGTAGGGATGGTACCCCAGGGAGAGCTGAACCCCAACCCACAAATTAAATACAGTGGTACCTCAGGTTAAGTACTTAATTCGTTCCAGAGGTCCGTTCTTAACCTGAAACTGTTCTTAACCTCAAGCACCACTTTAGCTAATGGGGCCTCCTGCTGCTGCCGTGCCGCCGGAGCACGTTTTCTGTTCTCATCCTGAAGCAAAGTTCTTAACCTGAAGCACTATTTCTGGGTTAGCGGAGTCTGTAACCTGAAGCGTATGTAACCTGAGGTACCACTGTATTAGCTATTGCACACATCCCCCCTCCCTCTTTTTCTCAAAAAAGGGAAATAAAAGCATACTATAGTTTTTGTGGGACGCAGGTGGCACTGTGGTCTAACCAGTGTTTCCCAACCTTGTGCCTCCAGCTGTTTTTGGCCTACAATTCCCATCATCCCTTGCCACTGGTCTTGCTAGTCAGGGATGATGGGAGTTGTAGGCCAAAAACATCTGGAGGCACAAGGTTGGGAAACACTGGTCTAAACCACAGAGCCTAGGGCTTGCCGATCAGAAGGTCGTAGGTTCGAATCCCTGCGACGGGGTGAGCTCCCATTGTTCAGTCTCAGCTCCTGCCCACCTAGCAGTTCGAAAGCACATCAAAGTGCAAGTAGATTAATAGGTACCACTCTGGCGGGAAGGTAAACGGCATTTCCGTGTGCTGCTCTGGTTCGCCAGAAGCAGCTTAGTCATGCTGGCCACATGACCCGGAAGCTGTCTGCAGACAAATGCCGGCTCCCTCGGCCAGTAAAGCGAGATGAGCGCTGCAACCCCAGAGTCATCTGCGACTGGACCTAACGGTCAGGGGTACCTTTACCTTTTTATAGTTTTTGAACATATACTTTGCTCTTGCAGAACACTGATAGCCAGAAACATGCCATCAGCTTTCCCATGCCAAGCAGTG